CTGGATGAGGGGCTGAGGGCTGTTTTCAGGCAGGCCAAGACTGCAACTGAAGCTCCCAGTCTCTCCTTTTTTTCTTTTCTTTTTTTTTTATTCTGGGATTTATTTACCTTCTGTAATTGAAACTTTGTTGTGGCTCCAGCTCTGAGGCCGGCTGGCTGAAAGCAGGTATCTGGGGTTTGTTTAGCTTCTATAATTGCAACATTGTTGCTTAGACTGGAGCTCAGAGCTGGGCTGTGGCAGGCAGGGAACCTTGGCTTCCTCCATCGCCGGGGCAACCAAGCCTCATGTTCGCTTCAGCTGTGTGGCTGCAGGCCGCTATCTTGGTTGGCAGTTAATTTGCATATCACTCTTATTAGCCAATGGGAAGCATAGCGTAGGTATGGTTAATTACCATGTTTGTCTATTATTAGATAGGGTACAATATACATATATATATATATATCCTGGGAGCCAGGTGGGGGGCCCACCACCTGCCGATGGTCACCATCTGCGGGGCAATCGAGTCCCTGCTCACACCCACCTTGGCCTGGCGCCTCCCACTCACCTGCTCCACCATCCTGCCACAGTCCCGCTGTTGTCGGGGCCCATCAGAGCCAGCAGCGCCTTCACTGCCACTGCTGCCAGCACCGCACGTCGCTGACGCCCGCCATGTTCTGCACTACCCCCTGGTGGTCAGTGCATGTTATAGCGAGTGAACGAGCAACAGCCTAGGGGACAATTTGCATATTAGGCTTTTATTATATAGGATAACAGTATGTTATATTGAGAGATGGAATCTAAAAGACCCACAAATAAAGAGCATAACCTTCTGAGCCTGAGCTCTTCCTGATATCTCGGGGTGACCTACAGGGATCGGGCCCCAGTGTGTGCCCCAGGCTCGCAGCCCCAGCTCATGCTCCCAGCCTTGCAGCCCTGCAGCCCTCCTTGGCACCCCACCGTAGCCTGGTACTGCCCCCTTATCTGCTCCACCATCCCACCTGCGGGGCAATCGATCGGGGCTGGCCCCCCTGCCCAGCTCCCTCAGCACCTGGGAGCCAGGTGGTGGGCCCACCACCTGCTGCTGGTCACCATCTGCGGGGCAATCGAGTCCCTGCTCGCACCCACCTTGGCCTGGCGCCTCCCACTCACCAGCTCCACCATTCTGCTGCAGTGGTGCTGTTGTCGGGGCCCATCAGAGCCAGCAGCGCCTTCACTGCCACCGCTGCCAGCACCGCACGTCGCTGATGCCTGCCATGTTCTGCACCACCCCCTGGTGGTCACTTACATATAGAAGTAGAGTGTGCTGTCTATTGCTCCTGTGCCCATTGATCAAGCTTGCCCCCTTGGGTATGATCTCCCTCATTTCCAGGTTTGCCCATATATCAGATGACCTGTGAGTGCCTATGGGTGAAGAGGAGCCCCGGAGAGGATGGTGAGAGATGCCAGTGTTAAAAAAAAAAAATCACCTAAGTTTAAAGATCTAGTTGGCTTTATTCAACTATTCAAAGAGGAAGTTTCTAGCAAAGGTTGGATTATCTCAGGCAAGTTCACCTACCTATGGAAGACAGAAGGGGTCTATCAGACTGACTACCTCACTAGTATTGACCAGGTAATGCAAATTAACTGGTTAAAGATTACATTCCTGGGAGAGGCTACAACTGCAATTAGGTTAGGTACGTAGGTATGAAGTCTTGGTTTGCTGACTGGGGGCTTAGTACAAGTGACTCCACTGGGATCTACTGTCTCCCACCCCTTTGATCAGACTCTCAGCCTGAGAGGTGTGATCTAAATTCAAGGGATTCATGCCCCTCTCAGCTACTGCTCTGTAGTCCCCACAGCTTTTATACCCTCTGTGTGGTATTCACAGGTCATGACTGTAGGCTCACAATTTTTCAGTCAGTCATTCTCTTCCTTCCTTTTCTGGTGTTCCCATCTTCAGGAGATCATTTGCTTGGTGGTTAGCAGCTGTGAATGTGCATTTAAAGCTTTTGGGAGAATTCAGTACATCAAGGAGGACATTATGATTATTATAAGCAGGATAATTTCCAACTTTTGGAGTGAACTTCAGAGCCATGATCCCCAGACCCAAACCATTCAAAATCAAATAAGGAAAAGAAAGACTCCATTGAAGGAGTCAACCTTGTAAGACAAGTGGCTTGCTCAATGATCTTATGTAACTGACTTCAGCTTCCCCAAAGGTGTTAATACAGGCTCAGCAGTTGTGCTGGCTACAGCACAGGCACTCCATGTTCAGCTAGAAGATAATCATGGGCTATTTAATTATCAAGAACAACTATAACTGGAGTCTACAAATTTTTTGTTGGGCAGCTATTGTATTAGCAGTGGATTCAGCAATATTTTCAAGTTTAAGGAGAGGTTCCTGACCATAACCTCATTTACACTTACTCCCAACCAGGGACGTAGGGCCCTGCCAAAGGAAGCAAATCCTGAGTCATGAATGCCTCCTGGTAGGTCTTTTCTAACTCCATGATGTAAATTCAAGGGAATTGACCAATAAAGTATCTCAGTTCATTTGTGAACAGTTTAGAGTAGATAACCAAAGAGGCATTGCTTGGTTATGTGCCAGCCATCTAGTCATTCATAGGCCCAAGGAGAATGATAATAACCACAGACAAAGAAAACCCTGTTGTGGCACAGCCATTCCCCTTAAGCTGGCATTGTCAATGAACTCAGTAGCAGGAATTGTTGCATTTGCCCATTCAAGCCACGGGTCGATTAGGTGTCCAGCGCATTTGGGAAGTCAATCTAACCTGAAATAAAAGTTTGTGGCGAGCCGGCACGACCAAAGCTGATTCCAAGTTTGGGGGTGAAAGGATTAAGGAAAAACAGACAAGAGAATAATAGCTGGGTCTCGGTGGGACCCTGCCTCCCTGATGAGGAGACAACGACAGCGCCCACAAGCCGTGTCTTTATTTTATAGCAGATGTCACGAGGCAAAGTAGGGGCATGATCACGTTGTTTACAGCATTCTCGTGAGTTTCAACCTCACTCAACTACATGCACCCGAACTCTATCACAAGGCACGTGGGGCCACGTGTTCGGACCATAGGCTCAAGCTTACAACCACAGCCGTTGGCTATGATTGTGCTGGGAGGGCCCTGCCCTCCAGCTGGGACTTGCACGTGGCAATGAGAGGACCCTGTCCTTTCATAGGTCCGAGGCTTGAACCTGGCCGAAACACCGTAACCGCGCCCCACAAAAGTTGTTCTAAATCCCTTGCAAAGACGGGAGCTGCTGGTGAGATCGTTCTGTGATTGGAGGCAGATGTGCTGTAATGACAAGAACATAGGGGTGCAAATGAACTAAGACTTACCTAGGTGTTTATGTCAAATTGGTTAAGTACGGTTATCATTAGAGAAAGGTGAAAACAGGCACTGGGTGTTCTGGCCATAAAGGTTGACCTTGATAAGAGACTTCTGGGGCTGGAGGAGTGCAGTCAGTCATAGTCTGCAATGACATTGGGGTCGAAGAGAAACAGCTCACAGGGAGTAGCAGGTGGCTTTAGCATCAGGGATAGGTCAAAATACCTGATGATGGATCGAGGAGTCTGAAAGGGTGCCCCCTGAACAGTGGCCTGGGTTATACAGGTGAGGACATTATCTTTGTAGGCCAATGCCGGAGTAAAGGAAGGAAAGGGGGAAATAAACAGTTTCGTGGTTAAACTATGGAGTCCTGATCCATCATCCCGAGTGGAAGTCAGCTACTTCTCTTCCTTGTCAATGTGAGTCCAAGGTCACCAGCGTCCGTACAGCACCAGTGGCAGACGGAGCCTTTAGCTGGAGATGGAGACCCAGGCCAAGAGACTGCTGGTGTGCGGCAGTGCCCATGGTCAGCAGCACCCGGTACGGTGAGGTCCCCTCCAGTGGGGTCCAGGGCTGTCTTCCTCTGATGGCAGGTCCAGAATACCCAGCCACCAGGCCCCAGACCCTGACCACCAGGATCCTGAGTCCAAATCGGAAAAGCTTTTTGACCTGCTGACAGACTTTAGTATAACCCTTTAGACTGACCAGGATAATCAGCAGAGCTGTTACCGATGTACATTGGTCTGCGGGGACTACCCTGTGTGGAGTGAGCTTGTTTCCCTAAGGGGTTACTGCTCACGCTCAGCAAGACCCAGGGCAGCACCTCAGGCTTCCAGCAGCTCCAGCAGGTTTAGAGGTTTTAAGTCTGAGGAGCCCATTAGTTCTCTCAACCTTGCCTGATGGTTGAGGGCGACAGGAATGGGGATAATTCCAAGTATGAAGGCAGAGGTCTGGGCCTGTTTCTGCAGAAGCAGAATAGACTTTATCCACGTGTGTCACAACCTTGAAGGTTCTGTGCCGCTGCCTGTGCATGAAAGTCAGTGAGGGCCTTTCTCCAGCAGGCAGGCGGGGCCTTCCAGTGAGAGTCTGTGTTGGTGACAGTCCTTTCAGGTCAGAGCATCGCTGTTTACTGGTTGCCCCCTTTTTTTTTAAAGATTTTTAGAGACAGAGGAAGGGGGCGGAGGGAGAGCAGGGAGGGGGAGGGAAACATTGATGGGTTGCCTCCTGAAAGCCACCCATCAGGGATGGAGTCTGAGTGGAAATCAACCTTTTGGTGCACAGGATGACACCCATCCAACCGAGCCACACTGGCCAGGGCACTGTTGCCCATTTTTTATGGGGGTCCTTATAAACATAAGAACACCCTTTTGTTTCCCTAACACTCCAAAATCATGGATGACCTCACAGGCACACCAGCCTCAGTCTAAACATTAACAATATGTCCTTTGGTAACTTGCGGGCTCTGGTAAGAGATGGAGCTGTGTTGTGGGGCTAATGGAGACTCAGGGAGGTTCCCCCTTCCAAGTAGTTCCTATTGGGTAGGAACAGCATAACCAGCTTGGAAATTCCCTTTATCATCTTTCCAGTATGAATCATCAACAAACAACTGGATTCGGGTTAGTTAAAGGGGTGCCTTGTAAATCAGAGCGCAGTGTCATAAAATGGGACCTTATTCCCTCCCGGTCACGGGGCTGGCTTAGCTGGGGTAGTGACGTAGCAGGAATGAAAACACTGCCATGTGTAAGAGGCAGATCAGGTGGTGAGGGCACAGGACCTCTGGGGAGGCTAGTCTACCTGCAGAGAAATGCTGACTCAGTTCAGTCAGGAAGACTCCAGACGGCCTGTGGGGTCTGCAAATACATTAAAGCGCTGCGGCTTCCACTCACTGTGCCCACACTGAACCTTCAGGCGGCTGGGATGGGACCAGCAGTGGCATGTGGCTGCTGATGGGCAACAGGCCTGCGTTGGTTGCCATGTTCTCCTGTGAGCCTTCCCAGGGCTTGCTCATGTCTCTCACACACAGATCAGGTGAAAGGTTCTGAACACCTAGGGAAGCTCAGGCAGGCGGTTCTGACAGCACGTGTTGGGTCCTATGAAGGCCTGCTCAGGTGGGAGAGAGTTGGCCCCTGGACTAAAAGTGTAAGGCCTCAGATTAGCGAGAGCATCTATGGAGTTAACTGCAACATGCCCATGTCTGGTGTGGGAGGAGAGAGGACTGGGCCATGTGAAGACCACACGGGACCCAGGAACCAAGCTCCAGTGACCTCTCCCATCACCCGAGTGGGGGGGGAGGGGGGGGGCGGAGACCAGTGGAAATAAATGCAAAGCAGCGGGTGGAACTGGGAGAAGACACCAAGTCCGGTAAGGCCTCGCCTAGATATGGGCCCCAAGGGAGCCCCACATTCAGGACATAAGATCAGGTCAAAGGTCAAAGAACATCTTGGGGCTAAAAGACAGAAGCAGAAAATTACAGAGAAATGCTACAGCTGGTATGCACACGCGGGAAGTAATGCTGAACCTCATACTTTATTAGAAACTCACATTGGAGAGGGCAGGAGGGGGGAGGGGGTCTTCCCGGGGCTGAGGACCCACGTGGCACAGCAGGGCCGGCGGGGCCCAGGCAGGTG